CTCCAATACCAATGAAATCACACTTGCTTTCTTCTCACTTCGCATGCATGTAAACAAATGCCAAATCGCCCTGGTGCCAGACGCCCACATAAAACTCAAAGATATAACAGGCGAGAACACAGTTCAGATACAAACTCGCTTCAAGTAACTAGCGCTTGTGCGCCCTTACATCAACCCCCACGACACTGTCTCCTCACAATTTGTTCACACGCACACTTCACTGGATCTCCCTGGATATCCCATGCGCACACACTCTTACGGCACACTGAGGACTACTCTAGCCTAGCGCAGCTATGGCTGCCCACTAACCCTATCACTACTAGCAGCTATGGCTGCTCTGTCTCCCTCACAGCCCACTTCGGCTTCGGGCATCTTCAGACCACCTCGCACAAGACGCACTGGCAGCACTTCCGCTTGGTTCGCAGCAGAATGAATGAATGGCTGGATGCTGCCTCTTGATTTATACTTCTGTTGGTCGCTGGTCTGGCCCCTTCACACCGGCCCCTTCGTGCACACAGTCCCACAGGGTACTTGCTGACTGGACTAAGTGAGACTGGGACTGGGTACCGCTGACTAAGCAAGGTTGGACTCACCACTTGCCCACTTGCCTCTGGTCTGCTGTGAACAACGTTCGAAAGGCCACTTTCGGACATTCCGGAAGCCTGCGGGCTTGGCCTTTTGGAACTGTAGCAGCTACGACCTTGACCTTTCACTACGACCTTGACTTTTCAAAATTACTATAGCTACGGCCTCTACACAACTATGACCTCTACTCGACAGACCTACGGTTCAAGACCCGACAGCTACATCGACCTACGGCAAACAACAACTGACTCCTAAAATGCAGGTCACGGGTTCATACACACAGGGATACTGTACACTGGCGAGGTGAGGTCTAGGGATCGTGCCCTGGGATCTGCATCTGCTACTGCAAAGGTGAAAACTGTTTCACAGTTGGCATGTAGAATGTTACATACTTCAATGAGTATGGGCAGAACCAAAGATCAACCAATATAGGATGAGCATGTATGCAGCGGAAGTCTGATAACGAACTGACTCACATAGACTGACTCACATAGCATCACTCCACACACATACAATCGTGAGATGGTGGGGTCTGAGCCATACAAAGAAGGTGCTCAGCCCCGTACACAACATACACAGATGAATGGGGGAGGAGAGACGAAGGAGGTGGGGTAGGTAGACAGCAC